CAGCAATGCAGAATTATTTAAAATTGCTTACTCATACAGTTTCAGCACGTACGCATTCAACGCGTAACTTCACACGAAACTTTTGCCAGCGACTATTTCCGCACACATCAACATCTACATGCAATTCTATTCACGCAAAATATACGCTGGTCCGATCGCCACGACTTGGCAGAATTGCATAATCGTTCTACAAACCCGTTTCAGTTTTCATGCTTTATAGACGAATATAAGATATCTATCTTACGTGTAAAACGCAGTATAGTACACGCTATGGTAAATTTTAACACAACAATTTGAGAATAAAAAAATCTTACGGAGTCCAAGTAGTAGCGCTTTAATTAGCTTTTTTATAGCTAATTCGAGTTTAGTAGAGCTTAAATTAGCGGAATGCTACTGTAGCGCGTCACTTGTATAGATTCTGCATGCCATGCATAGGCGGGACCATAGTACCAGGAGTGAATACTAGATCTATGAATATGTGAATAATCTATTAGTATTCACTCCTTACGTCTTATCTCCTGTTAATACGTAATAACATGAGCGCAGCTATACAATGTGTGTAGATATGTTCATGTGTGTAGAAGTGGACTAAAACTTTTCCCAATAGTATAAGCAATAGTAAAATAATGAGAGTTAAAACGCATTTATAGTTCACTTCTGCTGTACATCAGGGAAATGAAACTGTGGCGTACAGCCATATACACAACTTGAATACATAATATGAATACATCACGCGATCGATTTTATGACAACATTTTATGACGTAAACAGCCCTCACGTGAGCAGTAGCCAGCCCTGATACATGGATACGTAATTAGAGACACAATTCTAAACCGAACTCCTTCATCCATACGTCAAACATCTTATATCTCACATTAGCGATAATGACCTTTCACCAGTTAGAATACCAAGACATTGAAAGAAAGAGAAAACGTTAGATATATTTTCCCTTGAAATGAGTGACTTTCGCTCAGGCAGACGTAGGCCTACCCTTGAAATATATATTTTTGCTGGTAGACTGATTCATGGCGTCGATATAATTGTTCTGGGCAGCGTTAATAAATCGACTTGGTGCCAGTTTGGCTAACACTCGATGCTAAAAATCTATTAGATGTGCGATTTAACTGAACGTGAGACAACTTTAAACGACAGGATGACGTATACGTTTGTGTTCCAGTTCACTTCTAAGCGTTCTTCTCTAAAAGTACCAAGGTTATGATATATTATAGCCAAGCTGTATGATATACTGTACCGCACTAATAAAATATGTAACGATGAAGGTAAAAGCGCTATGCTAATTTCTGCATTTCTGCAACGCCCATGCACCGGCTATAGTTACATTACTACAGGATCATCAACCGACGTTATCTCCTGTTTCAATCCACTCATTCATAGTACTGCTAAACTAGCTATGAGCCGGCGATATAGCGAGTTTGGGGAATCTAGTTTTTGAAACAACGCGATTTGACGAATGGAGATTGATTATATTTACCAGCATTAATCATTTCAACGTTTGCGAAGCGAGTTTCTGTGTGTACTCAACGCAAGAACCAATACAGACACTCAAAATTTAATAACTATAAATTTCAACGGCACCATGCATGTGTTTTACCACCGGAAACGGTGTTGCGCATGTAATGCGATCGTCTGCTGAATCTACTGACTACGTATGCGTACTCGCGCGTACGGAGTGTGCGTGTGTGACGGACGCATGAAGATGCGTGCACATTTCTTTCGTAGCGTTGCGCACACAACTAATTACGTTGGCAAACACTCACTCAGCGAAAAGCGCGTGAATGAACACTCGCGAACATACACGGCGACGTATATAGGCATGTTTCATGTGTGACTACGCAACTGCTATCCACGAACGGACACTGCCGCGCAGCTATGCTACGTGTAACTCTACGATCGTCTACGGACGCTAAACTTCCGGTGAGAACAGTGTAAACTCGTTAATCAAATTGTTGATTAATTAAGTCGTAATTAATATCGCAAACGAGAAGTTCCCTGATATATACCTGGTGAATTTCGGGTGAAGCGACGCGTGTGAAAACAATAGCGAATGCGTGGCGAGTTGCTTCGTGCATTATGATCGAGCTATTAGCTGACAGTCACGAGCTGTTTGTCTGCACGATGACAGCATTAATGAATCCGATAGCGTGTTCGACACACGTGAAGCGGCAATAATTCGTTAACGCATGTTAAATATGGCATATCCCCGTTTACGCAAATTGACAAAGCGTTTCCCCATAAACAAATGTGCGTGTGCGTTCATATACTGCACGAGCATACGGTTAAGCTCCATGAGGCATGCAGGCTGGACGGTCTTAAGCGGCAATAATTCGTTAGCTCATGTTAAATATGGCATATACCCCTTTACGGAAATTGGCAAAGCGTGTACCCTAAACAAATGTACGTGTGCGTCCATATACTGCACGAGCACACAGGCGGTGCTAATTATGTGTGTCACCGCGTATATGCATTTCTAGATTACCTACACAATGTAATTACTTTCTTCCTGCATAGGTCTGCATTTTCGTCACACAGCAAACTTTCTGTATGGCGCTACATTTCTCACCACATAGTAGGAGATATATCCGTATTGCTCTACATTTCTCGCAGCGATGTGGCTTTTCCGTATTGCACTGAATTTCCCACCACTTGGCAAACTTTCTGTTTGCTCCCACATTTCGCACCATAATAGTAGACTATATACAGCTCGAACTACATTTCTAATCATGTTGCAGTTTTTCTGTATGCCTCCACATTTCTCACTACATAGTAGACTTTCTATATAGCACAACATTTCAAACATTCTTGTTAGAAAGTGTGTCGCTACTACAATTCATCGTAGCAATACGTGAGCTGACTCGCACTCTATTACTGATCTGAATATAACGTACTAACTGCAATGAACGCGTCTTTTAAGAATGACGATACATCACCATTAATATTAGGTGACAAGGAAAATGATAGATTACCTTTAAATAAACGGTACGCATATATAATGACACAGCATACCTACGGCACCAGGATGCATACAGTATGTCTTTGGCAAAGCACCATACGTCTCCCCACACACGCACGCACACACGTACGTACGTACGCTCGCTCGCTCGCACGCACGCCCGCACGCACGCACACACACGCGCACGCACACACGTAAGCACACACGCACGCACGCACGTATGCATAACGTACGCACGCACACACGTGTATAATGAATGAGGTGTAATTGGTTTGGTGGACGCATGTAATGACCACCATATATCTGTTCGATAATTAATTATATGTTATTATTAGAACGTCGATCTCTACTCAGCTAATCACTGTCTATAGCGTTATGGCTCAGAGCAGATGGACAGCTGACGCCCTAATATCGTTATGTAATACTAAGTATACGTAATATTAGATTTAATCATTATGTTCTTCTTCGACAGGGAGAACTAATAAGCGACTAACGCAACCTTAAATTAGATTATTAATTAGATAAGAGTGGCTATCGCATGTATAGCATTATTAGCATATACACGCAAACTTGTACTGACACACGCACGTAGGCCTACGTACACACCCACGCGTAAGAACGATTGCATGCGCGCGGCAACGCATGCACGCACGCACGTGCTCAGAAACTCGCGCGCATACACACGCGCACATACAAACTGCATGCAGTGCCCCTTCGCTCACTCAGGATACCATAATTAGCCCATGATAGTAGATTGAGCCCATGAGCGAGAGCGCCATCTGTCGTGGAGTTTGGCGCACATATACACACGAACACACGCCCACACACGCGCACGCATGCGCGCACGCGCGCGCACACACACACACACGCACAAACACACGTACACAAATAGGCCAATAGAGGTTAGTTTCACGGCGGTAAAATAGGCTAAACGTGATTAATGATCAATGAGTGTTAGTTGACGTTAATTACGCTTAGAAAACAAGCGCTCCTATTTCCCTAATGGAACAGACGATGTCAATGATGATGTAGGCTGATGCGGAAACGTCGGAAGCACGTCGGAAAAACGTCGGAAACACGCTAAACCAACTATGAATTCATAGCGATAATCAGTGACACCGGTCGCGTCGTAGCTTCTTCTACGTAAGCGCGATGCTATCGCAACATTAACCGGTGAAAGCTGATTATCACGCGTAATTACTAAGACACAATATAACAAGCTGAGTGTCGTCGAAATGCTGTTTCGATCCACACGTCCGGATTCCGCTACATATATATATATATATATATATATATATATATATATATATATATATATATATATATATATATATATATCACACACACACACACACATATATATATATATATATATATATATATATATATTTGCAGCGTCACTGCTGCCGACACACACACATACCTATATAATTATATATATTACATCGAGGCACATGACACCCGGCTAGTAGCCTAGCTGTCAGCTTGGTTCAGTTTGCAACAGTCATCCAATCACAATCCATTATTTACTCATTGCTCAATCAGATGCTCAGCTCCCCCCAGGTGCGTCTGACCGAAGTCATACCTTAGAGGAGCACCCAACCGTTCGTCAGGCGCCATGTGCGTGTAGAAAGATTTTGCGCTAGACTAGATATGTTTTGGATGCTACGAGTGTATTCTGAAAAAAGTGCACGACGCCCCCGTTCATATGCATTTTCTATATGGTTACAGGTTTAATGGCAATTTGCTTACGAGTCAGCAACTAGTTATTTAATTTATTTCGTATTGAGAGTATTATTAACCGAATAAATTAAATAACATATGTAGCGATAAGCATATCCGAGTAAAATTACAAAACAAGATAAACATACAGACAATAACAAAGCTGTCAAAGCAGCTGCATCGGGTTGGTCGGGCTCTAATACCCCTCCCTCCCCCCTGGCTGCGTTTTTATAATAAGACAACAAGGAGAAGCTAAGCGTGGCCTTGACGGCTCGTGTGCGCGGTACACGGACATACTCCGGGTGCGATGTGGTGCATGAGGTATAGCTTCACGTCGGAGAGGTGGAGCCAACAGTGTATGCGTGGTTGCGGACGGAAAAAGAGTTTCTTCCATAAACGAGTTCCCTCGGTAGTAGGCTCACGTATCACTACTGCTACTACAGAGCATAGCCGCGTGTGAGGTTTTGTGACAGGTAGGTCGTGCGTATGTGCGATAGTGTGATAGGGTGATAGTGCGACAGTGTGACAGTGTGACAGTGTAACAATGTGACAGTGTAACAGTGTGATAGTGTGACAGTGTGATAGTGTTGTGCGGTTTGTGACAGTGTGATATTGTAACAGTGTGATAGTGTTGTGCGGGTTGTGACAATGTGACAGTGTGATAGTGTTGTGCGGGTTGTGACAGTGTGACAGTGTGACAGTGTGATAGTGTTGTGCGGGTTGTGACAGTGTGACAGTGTGACAGTGTGATAGCGTTGTGCGGATTTTGGCAGTGTGACAGTGTGACAGTGTGATAGTGCGACAGTGTGACCGTGTGATAGTGTTGTGCGGGTTGTAACAGTGTGACAGTGTGATAATGCGACAGTTTGACAGTGTGTCAGTGTGACAGTGTGATAGTGCGACCGTGTGATAGTGTGATAATGCGACAGTGTGACAGTGTGACAGTGTGACAGTGTGACAGTGTGATAGTGTTGTGCGGGTTGTAACAGTGTGCGGAAGATAGCACCCTCTGATCCGCAGGCTCATCGTTGCGCTTGCGAGCGCTTAGAAAATCACAACTATTTTTCTATCATTATCATGGTTATTATCCTATTCCTGGTCCTAAACCCAGCACTTAGCTGTACCCGTGATCCTTTGGCCTACCCGTGATCCAAACGGTGAATCATTGACCCGGTGTAAACCTGTTAGTTATATATATAACGATATTCATGAGCGATATTATAAGGCGAATCTAAAGGTGAGTTGAATCGAAAATGATGAAATTTTGCTTCAGTATTAGTTTATGACTTAAAACTAAGATTCTGCAGACGCTTTCGCGCATGCAGGCATGCATGGGTACGTACGCACTGGCGATCTCTCTCTCCCTCAGACACGCACGCACGCACGCGCACACGCACACAAACAAACGCACGCGCGCGCGCACACACACACACACACGCACACACACGCACGCACA